GATAAGATGGCCATTTGTTAAAGCAACGTGAATAAGTTCTGCGATTTCTGTTGCCAAGATGTAATACTAACCTTGCTTCATGATGCAATTAATGGTTTGCAAAACAGGTTTGGCATCACAGAAAATCGTCCAGGCTCGAGGTTGCTCTCCGGAAATAACCCCGCTACAATGAAACTCAAGGGGCGCAGCAAAAATTTCATTGAAGTGAAAATATCGTTGTAGTAAAATAAAAAAAAAGGTATAGCCGATCTGAACTAGCAAAGCAAAGGAACGTTTATTCTCAAAATTCAAAAAGTGTGCGCTGCTTTTTATTCTATCCCAGCAATGTCACGACGCGATTCTCACCCATCCATAGTGAGGCCATGATGAAAAACACGCTGAAACAATGACTATAACTCCTTTCATGAACGAACCAAACAGTTGCATTAACACGTTAATACCAGCAGCTATCCGCCACCAAAACGCCGAGATGACAGCAGGGTATCATGCAGCGGTAACTTTTGCCTTATTTTATGCCATTCTCATCATCCATCACTCGCGGCTAGCTGATTTTGTTGATGATGCGGACGAACAGCCGCTTTGATTAGTTAGCACACTGGCCAAGGGCGAGCAAAATGATAAATACAAGAATTGGAAAAGGCATCGTTCCGGAGATGCACCTAGCAGCTGCGCGAAGAAAACCATGAACTAAGCAACTGAGCTTCAGCTTCGGATCGTCTGCGGCTATACAGTAAATTCAATCGTTAACATTTCGATGCATTTTCAGAACTAAAACACGCTTTTGCACCTCCAGAAACCACCACTGTTCAGCAAGTATAGACGCCGCCATTGCTCGATAGTGATGGCAATGAGACTACTATGCTTATGCCAGTGACAAAATTGGGGCAGTCTCATTGCCATCGTTATCGAGCAATGGCGGCGCCCATGTTTGTTGAACAGCGGTGGTTTTTAGTGGCGCCAACGCCTGTTGTCGACGTCGTCGACATATTTTTAGTTTCTGAAATTGCATAAAAATGTTAAAGATTAGGTTTACTGTATAGCGTTAAATATCTGAGCCTGGAATCACATCGTGCAATTTCGTTGAAGCGGGACGCCAAAAAAAAAAAAAAGTGTTCGTTGTGGCGACAATATTTATGCATTGACTCCTATGGACTGATGACGGGGAACCGTGGATTTTTCGTTGTAGCGGGGTTCGACTGTAAATCTTTTATTGCCTACCGGATAGCGACAAACTCTGCGGCAGTTGATGTGGTTTTATGGTCCACTTTGAATCGTCAAGCAATATCCATGTCTGAGATGACAAAGGCTGCGGCAGAGGCGTTTAGTGTGGCGGACCCGTCGGTGTACACGTGCAGAGAATCACTGTCACGTATAAATGTGATGTAGGGTCAATTGTCTGAGGCTAACTGAAGAAACGCGTGACTTCGTAATTCCAGGTATCGTAAGACAAACAGGTGGTTTAGGCAGGACCCATGGAGGCACTGTAGGAACAGTCGGCGGGGAAAACCTTAATGGTAGATAATTCTCATGCCACGGTATCACTCTTGAGAAACCGCACTCTGGGCGAGTGGTGGGTAGTACTGATAATGGGTGCTGTCTGTGTCTGCTCAGCAATCGAAGGTGAACTCTAAGTGGCTCGCAGAGCATGTATACACTGATGGGACAAGCCCAAGTCTCTGCAATTGTCCCATTTGTTGAAGTAAAGCGGCGTAAACCCAGGCATCTTTGTAAGCATTGAGCTTGAACACTCTTTAGCGTCTTCACACAAGTAGGTCTCATATTGGAGAGCACTGGCATGCTGTATAGTATGTATTCCACAAATAGAGCACTGTTCAATTGAAGTAGCGATGATTCTGATGGGCCCCATCTTGCTCCTGCCACGTGGCGAAGAACGAGAGTAAAGCTCTTCAATTTAGATTTAGGTACTGCGTTGCAAACCCCCTTTGCAAAGCAGTACTTTTTAACGACTACCCCAAGAAACTTGTGGTGCGTTACAGCAGGTATCGCTGTCCCATTAATAAATATTGGGTATTGCGACACATGCGTGCATGTGAACGCAAGCACTGCGCTTTTGTCGATTGAAAGAGTGAGCCCCTGACGTCGTCGATATTTGTATGTGATCATCACTGCACGCTGTAGTCGAGCTTGCAATTGCGGACGAGTAGTTCTGGATGTCCATATGCATATGTCATTAGCGTATTCAGTGATCTTCACCGTGCTGGGAAGTTCTGCTGCTAGGCCGATCATTGTGACATTGAATAAAATCGGGCCGAGAACTCCCCCTTGGGGCACACCACGATGAACCTTATATCGATCGGTGTCTTCGTTATTTGTCGTCATGTAAATGGTGCGGTCACTAAGGTAGCTAAAATTCAAGCATACAGTCATCCACCGTTGTCAAAATCTTCCAGTGCGTCAAGGATCGCATAATGCAGCACATTATTGTAGGCACCCTTAATGTCAAGGAATACCGCCCGCCACTAGTCTGCGTCGGCTTCTTTCCTCTTCAACGCTGGTGATCAAGTTGACCGCACTGTCAATGGCAGATCGGCCTCTTCCGAAGCCGTTCATAAATGCAGGAAAGGAGAATGTTGAGTACATCAAATCTCCCCAATATAGCTAATTGAGACACACGAGCGAGCATGGCATAAGCGTGCACCCCAAACTCATTCTTGTTGCTACTTGGAATGATGTCCATTTTTTTTAATTGCTATTTCGCAAAGGGTCGATCGAAATGAAAAGGATTCAATACTAGTCCACACTTTTGACAGCAATGGCAATGCTTGTGACAAGACAGGAGTGAACGTGTGCGCCTAGCAGAAGAAATGTTAGCAGAGCGGCTGAGCATCCCGTTGCTCCTTTCTTTGGAGTAGTGGTCAGCTGGTGCGCGATCTGAAGATGACCGCAAGAAAGTTTTGCCAGTGCAAAGAGTGGCGGGCTTGCCGGCCACTTTAAATCGTGCTAGATACTGGTGATATATATAAATAAAACAGATAGTTATTCGCCCCTCAGTTAAGTTTTGGGTCGCAAATCGCTATTAGGAAGTTAATAACCACTCATGGATGTAAAAATCTTGACATGAATCCTCAAATTTAATTTTTTTTAAGTTCAATTGATGGAATGCATGCTGATGGCTGTATTCAGGGGGGTGAGAAAAAACAATGGTTTTTTGGTGGACTGCCGTAAAATGCTGGGCAAGCGCCCCTCTCCCTTTTTGGAAGATCTGTGATAAATGCTAATGACCAAGCAACTGCCCCCTCCCCTGCGACCACACCTTTTTCAAGGTGAGCAATCGCTTGTGTAAAAAGAACCACAAAGAATTAGTGCACTGAATGTATATCTAACGTTTATGAAGTGCTTTATAAATAAAGCATATCATAAAAACATGGATGGTCATTTCTCTTTTCTTTTTTTTCTTCAAGCCGTTCTCTTGCCGCCATTTTAAATTTCGGTCCAGGACCGGGTGAGCATCTCTCACTCAAATCTGGTCAAGTTATCTTTCGCCATATGGGGACAAGGTGGCGCTGTGCGGCATTTTACGGTATGACACAAAAACATTTCACGTGCTTGCTGCAAAGGGTTACCTTGCAAAACTTTTCCAAATAACTAATGAATGGCTTCATTAAATGACTTTATTGCCTCACGAATTGACGGCTGCCAAAATTTGTAGAATCCGTCAAGCATGAGCTGTCGCAAGTATTAATTGCTCATTTGAAGACTTTCTCTCGAGTTTTGTATTATCGAGTGCACTGAAAGCAACACAAAGGGGGTGACAAGCCGGCCAAAAGCTAAGTTCATTCAGCACATGTCATGACCTTGAGCTTTTTCTTCTCCTTTTTTCTCTTCAAACATGCTGCTTACTTATATGGTGATCACTAGTGTGGGCATGTGGCTGCCTTGTAACTATGGATTCTCAAATCAGCCAGTGGCATGGACCTTGGCTTTGTGGCACAATCATTTTAGTTTATAGTTTGTTGAGAGAGGGACAAGTGATTTTGGCTGACTTTGAGTATTAATGCTTAATTCCTGGCTGTGTGCCATGTTATATTTGACTCGCGTGTTCTCAGGAGCCTCGACTACTGAGTGGAAACATTCTCTGGTCATGCTGAAAAAGGGTTGCAGGGCCCTTGAAAAATGTAGCAAAATTAGGCTTGTGCAATTTATGTTATTTGAATTTGGTTTTATTCAAATTTAATTTGTTGAAAAGTTATTGAAAATTGAAGCATTCAAGATGAATGCATACGTGTATATTAGCTCGCGTATAATTCTTTGTAAATGTGATTTCACTGCAGTGAAGGGGTGCAAAGCTATGAAAACACGTACTCAGAAGAAATCTGCACTGTCATGAAGCCCCACTTCAGGGTTAAATGAATATATTATCCTCTCGTCGATTCATCCATCATTTTTAAGTTTAAAAGCTTGTTATACCAGCTTATACCAGTATATTAAATATTAGAACGTAAAATATTTTACAGATTATCACTTGCATGCTGCCAAAAGTCACATCTTGCTACTGTTTAAAGTTTCTCCCGTATTGAACAAAAAAAAAATGGGCTGACTCAAAAAAAAAAAACGCTTGTTCCAACATGCAAATGATTGTTTTGCCCTGTCTTACCCATCTTTAACGATCTCCTCTATCCTTCTTTTTTAAGTCTTGTTCTTGGAAGTGTTCAATGCAATGGCGGATCCAGAGGTGGAAGGGGCGCTAATGCAATCATTTCCCACCCCTCCCTTAAAGTCTATGCCAGCACCTTCTCCCAATTTGTTCAATCTTCCACCATCTGTCACCGATTAAAATAAATGATCGAGACCACTGTAAGCACAAATTTACAGTATTCATTATGTGTTGTGGTGGGGTTCTTGTGATGATGGTAACTACTAAAAACGGCAGTCACGACCCCCTCTTTGGCCACCGCTCTTAAATGAGTGGCTGGATCCGCCCCTGCTTTATTAGTAATTTTTGAAACTGCATTTTTGGCTGCACATTTCTTAACCTGCAGGTTCAAGCTTTGCTCCAAAATTGATGCCAGGAGTTGCCTACTCTTTCAAGTCTCCCATGTTCCCTAACCAATATCCACTGAATAGCACGCGCTCATGGACATTTAATGGAACAGGCATTCGTGGATATCACTTGACCTTCTCATCAATGGACATTGCAAAGGCAAGTTGTGCCCGTCTTTTTTTTGTTTGTTTGTTTTTTTTTGTTTCCTTGCCAACATACATAATTATATATAATTTTCTCATGCCCTGTAACATGCCCTACAGCAAGGATATAGTTGTAAAATCTTGAGTTTTATGACAATTTTGAGATTAGTATTATAGAAACTCCTAATCAAGGTTACCAGGCATAGCTTTTTTGCACCAGTTTCACTACTTTTTGTCTACTTTCCTGTTCCCTCGATCTGAAACAAATTACCAATATCCTTTGTGTCGTAGCTGCTGGCGTATGGTATGTGGTGCTAAAAACATGGTGACAAATGTGTGTTTCCAGCTCCCAAAATTGAATTTTGCAGTTGCATTGTACAGAAGACTTTAATTCATGGTGTGTACTTGGGGGGGAGAGCTGTTGCATGGGCAGTGGTGCAAAAGTTGCACTGAACTGCGTTGAAAAGGGAAAATTGTTAAAATTTCATATTAGTGCACCCAAATGCCCGGCTGAACAAAATTTTTTGTTTACTAAAGTTTTTGCAGATAACGAAATCTCGCTTCGGTGACCTGCAGTTGAGAGGGACAGTGTCCCCCTGTTCGGTCCGATCCGTCACACTGGCAAGATCTGAACGAGACATTATTGTGTTTTGGCTGGCTTGCTGCTTGCTGGTAGAACTCCATGGAGTTTTTGCTGCTAGACCAAGCATTACTAGAGGGCTTTGGGCCGCCAACAAAGCATTGGTCACTAATGCTGCAGAATATATCTACATGGGTCTCTAGCGAAAAGACAAAAAAAAAAAAGTTGCAAGCGGCAATGCACACCTACTGAAAAGTTTAGGTCAGCATTGTTATAGTCTGGTCTAACGTTATTCATAGGTAACAGCACTTCATAGTACAAATGAAAAGATTATTTGCAATTTTATACTCATCCTTTGTTTTGAGTACCTTCGAATGGTGCTTTAAGCAGTAAGCATTTTGGCCGACCTTAGAGCAAGTCATATAAGAAAAAAATACTTTTTTTCCTATATCAGACGCCAATTCACCATGAACATACCTTGCTTGTCCATGGGGAATCTACAATTGCCAACAATTAACCAAGCAACGCCTTCGAACGCAAGAAGCTGTAAATGGAAGGAGAAATAACTTTTCGTCGCGTAAAACGCGACGAAAAGTTCACTGCGACGCTCAACTTGCCTACACCATAATGTCCTGAAAAAGGGCTTCCGCCTTTTAGTAATGGCAGAGACTAGTCTATCAATGATAACGACTTCCGTGTGGTTGTGGCGATGCCTTCATGGATAAGCATTAGATAAGAGCGAAGGCGAGGTGGCAGGCGGCGAGGTGGCAGGCGGCGAGGAGCATACCAGTTTGCAAATTGCCTACAAGCTAGTCATAGTCATCTGCTCATATCTGCTTGGCTACACGTTTAAATTGCGCATAGTGATATGTCCAAGCACATCATGATGCTGTTCGCAAGTTCGCTTCCGACATGTTGTGTAAAGCCGCTTGCGCTGTTTGCAAAATGCATTTCTTCATCATGTTGAACAAATAGACTACTTGCTGCGCTCAAGCGCGATCTGGAGTGAAGTATGCATGAAGGAAATGCCAGCGTGTGCTTACTTTGGATTGCAAACAATGCGCAATGTTATGGCGAGAGCCGTATAAGCGACATGCAGCACAGAATTAGCCAGGGATAATTGGTTCTGTGTGGCAGTATCGTATTTTAGTAGAACGACATGAGTTCATTGTGAACGTAGTTTAATTTACTTGTGAGCACAAAGCGGGCTTCGGTTAAAGAAAGATGCAATTTGAATAAAAAAAAAAAGTTCCGTTAATTTGTAGCCTAGGCTCCGCCGCGGTGGTCTAGTGGCTAAGGTACTCGGCTGCTGACCCGCAGGTCGCGGGTTCGAATCCCGGCTGCGGTGGCTGCATTTTTGATGGAGGCGGAAATGTTGTAGGCCCGCGTGCTCAGATTTGGGTGCACGTTAAAGAACCCCTGGTGGTCGAAATTTCCGGAGCCCTCCACTACGGCGTCTCTCATAATCATAAGGTGGTTTTGGGACGTTAAACCCCACATATCAATCAATCAATTTGTAGCCTAGGGCAGTGAAATATTTGCTGTGTATGTAGGCATCTATGGTGATTTCAAATATGTAGTTAGTTTTATAGTAAGTTGCACAGTTTTCATTCTGTGTCATGACAATGTGTATAGTTTGTTTTGGATAAACATTTTTTGCCACTAAACTTTTATGGTTCTGATCTGAATAAGCCTCTATTGCATGGCATGCCGTATTTGGCATATACCCATTTTTTTGCGGGTGTGGGCTGCCCACTTGAGAATGTAAAACCATTAAAGTAATTTTCATAGTTATGCACATTTATGATGGGCAAGTAATTCCCTATCTCTTAAGCGATATGTAAAACAGGGGATGAGAAGTGCATTTTGGGATGAGACGTGCAACTCAAGGGGGCCAAACACAAGAAATTAGGTTTTTTGAGTGTGTGTGTGTGTGTGTGTGTGTGTGTGTGTGTGTGTGTGTGTGTGTGTGTCTTCACCTCACAAACATATAAAGAATAGTTTGGCATACTTTATGGTCTCATAATTTCAATCCCATTATTAGTTCTTTGAAGTTCCTCCGCAACTGCGCCAGAGAACCCGAAATCGGTATGTGCCAAATTTGCCACAGTATGAACTTGAAAGACAAAATTAGTATCGTGGTCCCATCTGTTGAGTAATACCCAAAACAAGTATATGTAATGCGTAGCCTTCGACATTCGGTTTTTAAACTTCCTCCACAACTGCCCAGGAAACTAGCATTTACCATGTTGCAGATAGTAGGAAATTGCGCGGGAAGGGATATAGGTGTTATGTGGTGAAGGTGTAGCACGGCAGCGCATTGAATGCATCCACGTTATCACAGCTCACTATCACAAGATGGAATTTTGTAGCTCGGTACGGTGAGGGTGAATCATCTACTAATATGCCGCCTGAAAAGCAAAAAGGAACTAATATGTAAAGGACGTGGTGCTTCAGAGGAACTTGCAACCACGATAGATCATATAACCGTGCCATAACATTTCTTTCAAGTTTTGTTGAGAGGGATTCAGTCGAAAAGACTAAGCGCTGGTCTACTTTAGCCAAGGAGTTTCCTTACAGTGACTACCCATGTGTCTGTTGTAGACCTTTACTACCCTGGGGCAGAGTTGACCTGCTGGACTCGCTGCTTGTACTTGACCACGTCCACATCGCGACGAAGAAGCGGCACTTTCAAATTTTTGCGCATACACTAGATTTATCATTAGTAGCAGCATGGCTACTGTGCAGGAGAGTGCAGGAGCAGCTTGGGAAGAAAGAAGTAATCGCTGGCTCAATTCAAAACAAAAATTGCAGAATGATTTGCCTCTCGGAACGAGTGCCTACACAAAAAGCGACCAGGAAGGCCTTCTAGAGAAGGCATCGAATTCCAGGTCCAAGCCAAGAAAAGCATGGAGACCGACTGCACCAATGTCCTTCATAGACGTTCGATCTGACCAATTCGGCCACTGGCCAGAATTTGATGAGAAGAGACAAAGATGTAAGCGGCCATCTTGCACAAAGAAATCGTCAGTAAGATGCAGGAAGTGCCGAGTCATCTGTAGCTGTACGCACGAACAACTGTTTCTTTCCTTCTGCACATTGCACTAAAAGGAACACCTTCCACGATGCTATGTTTTTCACCCATGGCAGCAAGACCACTCTGCCATCTTCATGGTGTGCCATATTTGGCACAAAGCTCTATCTTTATTACTACAGCCGTTATAACTCTGAAACTTTTTGTACACATTTAGGTTCATTCAATCAATACTGCCAGCTGAAAAAAATAACTTTTTGATATGAATTTTTTATCATCATCATCATCAGCCTGACTACGTCCACTGCAGGACAAAAACTTCTCCCATATTCCGCCAGTTAACCCGGTCCTGTGCTTGCTGCTGCCAATTTAATTTATACCTGCAAACTTCTTAATCTCATCTGCCCACCTAACCTTCCGTCTCCCCCTAACCCGCTCGCCTTCTTTGGGAATCCAGTTAGTTACCCTTAATGACCAGCGGTTATCCTGTCTACGCGCTACATGCCCGGCCCATGTCCATTTCCTCTTCTTGATTTCAACTATGATATCCTTAACCCCCGTTTGTTTCCATAATCCATTCAGCTCTCTTCTTGTCTCTTACGGTTACACCAACCATTTTTCTTTCCATTGCTCGCTGCGTCGTCCTCAATTTAAGCTGAACCCTCTTTGTAAGTCTCCAGGTTTCTGCTCCGTAGCTAAGTACCGGCATGATACAGCTGTTATATACCTTCCTCTTGAGGGATAGTGGCAATCTACCTGTCATAATTTGAGAGTGCTTGCCAAATGTGCCCCACCCCATTCTTCTAGTTACTTCAGTCTCGTGGTTCGGCTCTGCGGTTATTACCTGCCCTAAGTAGACGTAGTATTTTACAACTTGAAGTGCACAGTGGACTAATATTTATCTCGAAGTGCTGCTCTCTTCCGAGGTTGTTGTACGTTACTTTAGTTTTCTGCAGATTAATTTTATGACCAACCTTTCTGCTCTCCTTGTCTAACTCCGCCCCGCCGCGGTGGTCTAGTCGCTAAGGTACTCGGCTGCTGACCCGCAGGTCGCGGGATCGAATCCCGGCTGCGGCGGCTGCATTTTCGATGGAAGCGGAAATGTTGTAGGCCCGTGTTCTCAGCTTTGGGTGCACGTTAAAGAATCCCAGGTGGTCGAAATTCCCAGAGCCCTCCACTACGGTGTCTCTCATAATCAAATGGTGGTTTTGGGACGTTAAACCCCACATATCAATCATCAAATATATCAATCTTTGTCTAACTCCGTAATCATGAGTTGCAATTCGTCCCCTGAGTTACTCAGCAATGCATTGTCATCGGAGAAGCGCAGGTTATTGAGGTACTCTCCATTAACTCTTATGCCTAACTGTTCCCATTCTAGGCTGCTGAAAACCTCCTGTAA